AAGTTGCTGCTGTGAAAAATAGACAGTTTGACACATTGTGAAAAACGTGGAAAACAAACTAACATTTATAAACACTGTTCAGACAGAGAGTGATGCAAAGTAACACTGTTTATAAACATTGATCAGACAGAAGACTGAGAGATACAAAGTAACATTGTTTATAAACATTGATCAGACAGAAGATAGAGGGATACTAATGACCCCATACAGATATACTGCTGCGGGGCTGCCATTTTGCACAGGATCATGTATATGGTAAGTGATCAGCACTTATGGGCAGGGCACGCATGCGTCCGCTGCCCTGGCTGTGCTGTGATTCATTACAGCACAAGTTTATCAGTGGGACTCGGCCAATATCTGTTTGTCAGGACCCGCTGATTGGCATAGTGATTCACAGACGAGAGCTCTGTGTTGATATGCAACACAGAGCTGTCTACACTGAGCAGCTATCTTGCTGGGTTTTCTTCATTACCTGCAAAGCAGGGCAAAGAAAAACAAAATCGCTTAGTAAAATCTGTACATATCTCACACATTACACATTTAACCCCTTCCCAGCTAGTGTCAGTACAGTGACACTGTATAGTATTAGCACTGATCACTGTATTAGTATCACTATTTAATCAGTGTCAGCATCAGTCAGTGTCAATTACCCACCACACTATCACAGTCCCACTATAAGCTGCCATTACTAGTATAAAAAAAATATATAGTATATATTCCATAGTTTGTAGACACTATAACCTTCACGCAATCCAGATAATATATACCTTTTGGGATTTTTCTTTACCAAAGACACGTAGCAGAATACATTTTGGCTTAAATTTATAAAGATATTTGATTTTTTTTTTTATATGTTTTATAGCAGAAAGTAAAAAAGTGTTTTGTTTTTTGTTAAATGTTCAGACTTGTGTTTTGTATGACAAAAAATAAAAATCCCAGTGTCGATCAAATTCCACCAAAAGAAAGCTCTATTTGTTTGATAAAAATGTATATGAATTTGGTTTGGGCACAGCGTTGCATGACCGTCAATTACCAGTTAAAAGTAACGCTGTGCTAAATATAAAAAAAATGGCCTGGTTATGAAAGGGTGTAAAATCTTCCAGAGGTCAAGTGGTTATAAACACTGGTCAGACGGGAGATGGAGAGATACAAAGTAATATTGTTACTTTTTTGTATTCAGGATGTTTCATTCGTCTGCAGATCATAGAACCTTCTATCTGTATATGAAACACAAATGATGCATGCAGCGCTACTACCGTAAAAAATTCTTCACACATAAATGGATAAGTGAAACAGTGCAAAATTAATGACACAAATAACATAAACACACAATATTAAATAGTGCCAAAAAACTCATAAATAATCACATGTGACAAGTGTCAATACGAGGTCCTAAAAGGACCAAATAACATAAGTGGTGCCCCAAGTAATCCAATGGGATCCAATAGTGCTCCAAATCAATCAAGTAAGTCACAACAGGACTCAATGTGCTAGAAAAACCTCCCACCAGAACTAAAAATCAGTTCCCACCACATAACACAAAACGCATGTGCATCCCAATAAACGCGTAAACTAAGAACTGATCATGCAAACAAACATGAGTAAATGAATGAATATATAAAGTCCTGTGAGGTGTAAAACACCTGACAATATACAAAAAACTATATATAAAGTCCACAACAATTCTTGAAGAAAAAAAAAAAAAAAGTACTAATAAATGTGCAGAGATATCCAAAAATATCTGAATTGCCCGCTCACCTCCCTCTTGCGACCCGCACAGGGTCAAAAGGCCTTCAGGATCACTAACACATGGACCCTTAATAGTAGGTAATCCTCCACAGCTCTCCACACTGACCTCCCCTCATGTACAGATTCCAGCACAGGCTCACAGGGCAGCAGATCTCCTCTTCAGGCACATAAGGTGGCTGCAGCCACTTGATCCCTCAGATCAGATGTACTTGCATGGGTGTCCAATGTAAATAAAGAAGGCGTCCGACCGGAAGTACGTCACTGCCAACGCGTATCGTCACGCTTAACACGTGACTTCATTCATTTTAAGCCTTTACTTAATTTGTAAACCACATTGCCATGATTTGTACCAGAATCATACTTTTTTAGGGTCAATTTAAAGAGAACAAATTATAGAATAAAATTTGATTATATAATATGTAATTTAATTTTTTTTTTTTTTTTTTGTGAGTAATGAGAAAGTTATTGCTGGATAAACTGGCCCATAATTCAAATGTGAATTTTGCTCTGCTCCACAGGGGAATGTACAGGACGAGAGATGAACTGTGTAATTAAAGAACTGACACACCGAATATAAAGTTTTTTAAGTATCTGGACTATCTAATTAAAACATAAACTACTTTCCCTTCACCATTCCAAGCATTGGAGGCATTATTGTGCTGCACACCTGCCCCAGGCGATATCGTTTTAGTTGCGATTGTTGAGCAACTGCCCAGCCCTGCAGAGAAATGTCTTTGCATGACTACTACTTCTGCATGCGCCATTCCTGCCACAACTGTACACGAAGTTCCTTTTCTGAACTCTCACCTCCATACAATCCACTGTGAAAACATGGCAATTGTGTTTTTAAAGGAGAGCAAAGTTGCCAGCCAACAGCCCCCCTGTGGATTACATAGAAACTTTTTATGCCAGAGGTTACACAAGAGATCGGAGCTGAGATTGCCGCAGAGGATTGTGAGGTGTCGCCTGCTGTACACAAATGTACAATTATTGGAACTGCAAGGATCCTGAAGTGTTCTATTTATAAATGTTTTTATCTATGATTCACAAAACATTCACCCAAGGTTCACATAGATTTCTAACTGGATTCAATAGGTAGGACACATTTATAAATAGAACCCAAAATATTGCGAGAACTGTTTGCTATGTTTTAGGCCTCGACCAAACCATACATGCAGAAAAACTGATGGAAACTGATGTGAAGATTTCCCTTGCAGAGACATCAGTTTTCATGTGCGCCTCAATGACTTTTATACCAGGGCTTGACAAATTTTTCTTTGTATCTTTGAGCCAGCTAAAAAAGTTAGGAGCCGGTTTTCACGGCAAACTGCACCACGTTTTAGGTACCGTTGAAAATAATGGCACCTGAACCTGTGTTTTGTGATCACAACAATTTTACTGCGATCCCAAAACGCCCATGTGTGAATGGAGCCGCTGTGGTTCACACATATGGGATTCTGGATTTGTTTTGAAACTCAGATATGTATGACAGGCTAGATACTTTGTGTTCCTATTGGGTCCTGTACGAGTTTGTAATGGTGTGTTGTGTTCCAAACTCACAAGTCTATGGGAGGCGTTTTTCTCATTGAAGACTATGGGAGGCGTTTTTCCCATTGAAGACTATGGGAGGCGTTTTTCCCATTGAAGACTATGGGAGGCGTTTTTCCCATTGAAGACTATGGGAGGCGTTTTTCCCATTGAAGACTATGGGAGGCGTTTTTCCCATTGAAGACTATGGGAGGCGTTTTTTCCCATTGAAGACTATGGGAGGCGTTTTTCCCATTGAAGACTATGGGAGGCGTTTTTCCCATTGAAGACTATGGGAGGCGTTTTTCCCATTGACGACTATGGGAGGCGTTTTTCCCATTGACGACTATGGGAGGCGTTTTTCCCATTGAAGACTATGGGAGGCGTTTTTCCCATTGACGACTATGGGAGGCGTTTTTTTTCCCATTGACGACTATGGGAGGCGTTTTTCCCATTGAAGTCTTGAGAAACACATTGGTTCTTTAACTTCTTGATATATGCAATAAATACCTACGTGACACAATGTAGAAAGGATGAGAGCGCCCCAGATCTTATGGGAGGCCAATAGGTCTTTATTGCATATGACGAGGTCAGAGAAATCAAACACATTTCAGGGACCCATACTAGCTCAACTCTTATCCTTTTATTTTGCAAAATATTGTCCATTATTCTTCTTAATTACTACCAGCATCTAAGCCCTGATGAAGTGAGTTTTTTAAGCCCCCGAAATGCATTGGGCTTCTCTCTGACCTCTTGCCATGTGCAATAAAGCCTTATCAGAATAAGCTCATTAGGGTGAAATGCATCAAGGATGGGAGATCCTTTGTATGCCGTTTGCGGTTTACTAAAGATTTTACAAAGAGATGACGTCCCTGGCATGTGGCCAGCATTTTACCATTTTCCAAAGACCTACTGGACTCACATTAGAACTGATGTGCTGTCCTCCTATGGGTCATTGTTATTGAGTCCCCAAAATGCATTGGATCTTTAACCTCATGTGCAATAAAGACCTATTGAACTTGGTGTAGAAAGGATGAGAGCACCACAGACCTAATGCAAGTTCAGTAGGACTTTATTGTAAAGGATAAGAGGTCAAAGAGCCAATGCATTTCAGGGACTTCCTGAAAGGTGAATTGTACTCTTCTTAATTACAGCCAGTATGTATGCCCTGATGAAGGAGTTTTGAGCACCTGAAATGCGTTGATATCTGATCTCTTTTCATGTGAAATGAAGACCTGCTGGACTCACATTAGCCCATAGGTGCACTTATCCTATGGGTCATTAGTCTGGGCATCCTCAAAAAGCTTTGGCTGTTTGACCTCTTGTCCTGTCCAATAAAGATGAGAACACCACAGATCTAAAGAGGTTCCTTTAGGTTTTTATTGCTAATGACAAGAGGTCAAAGAACCAATGCATTTCATGGACTCCCTGGATAGTGACCTGTACTAGTACAACATTTATCCTTTTATTTTGCAATCATTTGTCTAGTGTTCTTCTCAGTTACTGCCAGCATCTAAGCCCTGATGAAGGATGAGGATTGAGCCCCTGAAATGCATTGGATTTCTATCTGACCTCTTGTCAGGTGCCGTAAAAGACCTACCTGGCTCACATTCGATATGTGGCACTCTCATCCTTTCCACACTTTTTGAACAGTTATAATTATTGAATGTTAATTAGTTTATGTGTGTTTTGCTCCGGTGGTGTAACAATCACTATGTTATTCCGCAGTGCACCCGTTGTGGAAAGGACCGATAGATGTCCCTGGAGGCTCCCGCCAGTCTCCCATCGACATTCGTGTGCGTGACAGCATCTTCCATCCCCAGCTCACCCCCATCAAGACTCAGTATGACCCGAACACCTGCTTGCACGTCTGGAATAATGGCTACTCGTTTCTGGTAGAGTATGACGACTCCACTAACAAGTCGGGTAAGGTGGAGTGCGATTGAGTAGTTAATATTTATTGCTCTGTATGGAGATTGTGGAAAGTTGGACTTATGTCTTCTTCCTGAGCTTGATCCCAGGTGCTAAATGAGCTCCTGAGCTGCTTTTACTGTTGAATCCCAAAATATCATGCAAAGTGTTAGAGACCCTGTCACCAAACCATTATCTTCCCATAGGATTATATCTGCATTTACTGGATTGTGAGCCTTTGAATGCAATTTTAATAGAATAGTTTTTTTGTGAGCCACCAGGAGTTAACTTACTCTATTATTAGTGTTAATTGTGTGCTTAAGTGAATATTTATTAAATATTAGATCGCTAGGCACTAATTACACCCTCTCTAGGTGTATAAATATAAACTATGAATTCTTGTACTGTACCGCGCTCTCCAATATTATCAACCTTTGTGATTGACCTTTTTTGATTGTGTGAATTTCTTAATATACCACCTCTAATCCAATCATTACTTACTTCTATGGTGCTTAAATATACAATTAACATAAATTCATTTATAAATGTGAATTAAAAAATTATATGTGATTATAACAAATATTAATAAAAAATTAATGAAAAATTGGAATGTCAATTCTATGTGAATAAAATTAATAAAAAATTAATAAAACATTAATAAAAAATGTGAATGTCAATTATTTTCTTTGAATTTGAGATGGTGTTGTTATTCAATTTAGTTAATGTGATGAGTCTGTGTTCGCAGCTTGAACCTCTCCCTCCTGTCTCCTCTCCTCTCTCCTCAGCTCAGCCTTCTCAATTGTGCTTTCTTCACTGGCTGCTTTGTTTATTCCTCCATATACTGAACATGCAGAGAAGGGAAAAGAAACATAGTGTCTTATCCGGGATATAAGTGATTTATTGCTCTTTGATCTCCCACTCACATTGTGTAAATGTAAATAGAGCTTTGCATACAATGTATCCAGATCGTGCTTCAGACAGCCTGGCTGGTGTGTTTGCTTTCAGTAAATATACTCACCATTTCTCTGTGGATGCGTGCTAACGTCACCGCCCCTCCCCAAGGTGACGTTATCACGCATCCACAGAGGAACAGCCAGTATATTTACTGAAAGCAAACACACCAGCCAGGCTGTCTGAAGCACGATCTGGATACATTGTATGCAACGCTCTATTTACATTTACACAATGTGAGTGGGAGATCAAAGAGCAATAAATCACTTATATCCCGGATAAGACACTATGTTTCTTTTCCCTTCTCTGCATGTTCCGTATATGGAGGAATAAACAAAGCAGCCAGTGAAGAAAGCACAATTGAGAAGGCTGAGCTGAGGAGAGAGGAGAGGAGACAGGAGGGAGAGGTTCAAGCTGCGAACACAGACTCATCACATTAACTAAATTGAATAACAACACCATCTCAAATTCAAAGAAAATAATTGACATTCCCATTTTTTATTAATGTTTTATTAATTTTTTATTAATTTTATTCACATAGAATTGACATTCCAATTTTTCATTAATTTTTTATTAATATTTGTTATAATCACATATAATTTTCTAATTCACATTTATAAATGATTTTATGTTAATTGTATATTTAAGCACCATAGAAGTAAGTAATGATTGGATTAGAGGTGGTATATTAAGAAATTCTCACAATCAAAAAAGGTCAATCACAAAGGTTGATAATATTGGAGCGCGGTACAGTACAAGAATTCATGGATTGTGAGCCTGTTCTTTTCCTGTAAAAGCCTTCCTTATGTAAACCTCGAACATTCAAAACTGCTGCTGGGTGCTGCCATATTGCATGTGATGTTGGTAGACACTCTGTAGTATTCCCTCTGCTCTTTCCTTGCCAAATACCTAAAATGTTATGTAGGGAGGTGAGAGGAGTGTGGAGGAGCTGGGCCAGCGCAAACAGTAATTGGACACTCCCAGAAGATGAGGGCTATCACGTGCAAGGGGGGAGGGGACTGTGGTAGGGAGTTGATTTTCCTTGCATCATCAAGCTTGATTATTTACCTTTATTACCGTCACAAGGGCCTAACGAGCTCTGTATGTCATACCCTTCATTAGGTGACAGGTCCTCTTTATGGAGACCTCAGAGATCTGTTCAACTCGCCAATGTCCCCACTGCTTTTCATAGTTAATCAAACACACACCCTCTACTACAGTAGCCAAGGAAAGATAGCTGTGAACCTGGAAGTGACGTAATACATATCACTTCCGAGTTCACTAGTCACAGTGGGTATTGGGGAATGGATGTTCCCCCAATCACCTCCTGTTTTCACTGCAGAAGCTACCTACTGGATCGACGAGAGATCCCAGGAATGACTGTGAGTGCCGCTGGTGGGGGTGGGGCAAACCTTCAGACAAAGCCCCTGATTGGTCAGATCACTTTTATCTGAAAAAGCTTCACTGGCTGACTCTTAAGAAAAAAATAAAAATAAAGCAATATGTATGTATTATATCTATATGTAATATGTATTGCTTCACCCCCTTGTATACTGCTGTCTTTTTTAAATGTAGATTACTAGACAAGGGGTTAAAGATCTAATAAAACCACACAGGAGTGCAGAATAAAACAAAATATTCCTGAAAATGGAATACTGTTGGTCACTATCCAAATGCTAGTCTAAGACATGGAGTTCCAGTGTAGAATGTTCTTCTTGTATTAAAGCTCAAAGCGTACAACTTTTTGCAGAATAGACTCTGTATGGCGTGATTGACTCCTGTCTTGCTAGCACGCGCCCCTGTCCCCCGGGGAACATGGCTACAGCATTACGACACCTGTTTACTTTCTACTTAACTCTTCACACACCTGATATAAATTAACCAGGCGAGGTCAGCTGTACTGTTCTGCTTGTTGCAGTTTTTTGCATTTAAAAAATTCCATGGGTGTTTCAAGGATAGCTAGCTTTTCCTCAGGAAGGCATATTACATGGGTGGCAAAGGGGTGAAAAAAATAGGTGGTTGATCCGTATTTCTATTCCTCCTCCCCCAACTGCCCACCTCAAGCCTACAACGGCATATGAACTTGGCTTTTTGTGTCTAACAGGATGCACCACCTGTCAAACTCGCCAATTGAGGTTAATGGGGCTGCACCACTACTGCAAACCAAATGCTGTGTCATGGAATTTCAATACAAAATTGGTGGTTTTAAATAAGAAAAAAAAAAAGTTAATTTGGGTGGTGGTACTATCACCTCCGGCACACCTGAAAGCCACTTCTCTACCACTCTCTGAAAAGCAATCCACCACAGATCACAGTAGAGACTGCTGACTGGGCGAAAGAGGCCTAAGGGCCATGGTGTCTGTTTTATGAACTAGAGGTAAATGATCGCTACTCAGTTCTCCGGCATTCTCGTAGAACACAGTTCTGTGAATGCCTTTTATGAAGCAGTTCTCCGAACGAAGGGAGAACGGTCTACAAACGCTGGAGAACGGTCTACAAATGGTGGAAACCGGATGATTTTACTATAATTCACAAAACTACAGTAAAAGATCAGTTTACTAAGCAGAGGTAAATCATCGCTGCTTAGTTTGCGGTCCCTCCGATTCTCCAGCTCTGGGCTGGAGAATCTGGAGGGAGAACACAGATCTCCAGTGAAGGGCTGAACATGTTCTCTGCTGATCTCCTGAGTGTCATAAACTGTGAATGACCAGAGAATAGCTGCGATCCTCTGAATCGCAGCTATTCTCTGTGTCATAAACGGACACCCATGTCACATCAGCAACAACGGAGCAGAGATTTGAACCATCACCAGATCTCTGGGCTTGTTTACTCTGGTGATGTACATTTAGTAAGGAATCAATGCTGGCTACAATACCTAGGAATAATAGAGGGATTCAGGGGTATTACTGCTTAATTAGCCCCTCCATAAAGGATAAAATCTGTTACATTATGAAAAAATTGGGATGTTCTTGATGTGTTCAACCTAGTTCATGACACACATTTAGGAAACTGTAACAATTTTTATTACATAAAGGGAAAAAGAGAGAGAAAATGCAACAATATAAAACCATGGCTGTGGGGTACTGTGTATAAAGCAGGCCATGTCAAAAAAAGCAATTTCCGACCTGTGGTTGCAGGAAAGAAAATTGTTTGACTGTGTTGATGGGGGGGTATCCCTCCTACAGAGCTTTTGTATTTTGACAGCGGGAGGTTGCCTAGCTGTCAGGATACAATGATCACTGATGGCAGCTAGAGCTGCTGGCAGTGATCAAATGGGGGCAAAAAAAGACAGGCTAGTTTTACTGAAGTTGATCAATAGATCGACTTCAGTACAACCAGCCTGCCCATAGATGGATTGAAAATCGGCCAGTTCCTGCTGAACCTGCTGAGTTTTGATCCATCTCCGGCTGGTTTAAGAGATGCGTTTACTGATTAGCCTGTTGATGACCTGTTTAGAAAATTATCTTTGTTATCTGAACTGCATATACATTCTTGAAAAAGTGGACTTTGCTTCAAGAAATGTGTTGGCTGAAAAGAATCTTATGCAAGATAATATGCTGTTCTCCTATGTAACTATGCGTGAGATTTACTAAAACTCGAGCATGAAAAATCTGGGGCAGCTATGCAAAGAAACCAATCGGATTCCAGGTTTTATTGTCAAACCGTAACTGAACAAGCTGTAGTTAGAAGCTGATTGGCTACCATGCACAGCTACAGCAGATTCTGAGTGCATTAGTTTTAATAAATCTCCCCCCATTTTCTATGAACAAGTCTTTTTATTATGGTTGTAAACTATTAATATTGTTAATATTAACACAGTGGCTAAATGGTTAGCATTTCCGCCTGGCAGCACTTGGGTCATTGGTTCGAATCCCAACCCAGGCACCACCTGCCTGGAGTTTGCATGTTCTCCCTGTGACTGCGTGCGTTTCCTCTGGATATTCCGGTTTCCTCCCACACTCCAGACATGCTGGTAGGTTAATTGGATCCTGTCTAAATTGTCCCTAATATGTGTATGTATGGATGTGAGTTAGGGACTTAAGATTGTACGCCCCTTGAGGGTTACGGACTGATATGAATGTACAATATATGTATGTAAAGCGCTGCGTAAATTGATGGCGCTTTATAAGTACCTGAAATAATAATAATATTAAAAGAATATATAAACCCAACATTTCATATCCCTGATATCTGCCTGCTGTACCATGTACTGGTATGAAAGTATCCGGTTCTTTGTATTGCTTCTTTTATGTGAAATCCCTGGTGTTGCTGCCAGTCTCCCTGCTTTCCTATTAAAATCTGACCACACTAAGCATGAGAGCACAGCATAGTCAGTTCCCTAGCTGTGCTGAGAAGTCAGCCTGCTCTCTTCCAATGATCAGACTTGTCTTTTGTCTTTCTCATTGTGCCATGGACTAGTTTGTGCAAATCATTAATGGCCCCATATTTTTATGTAATTGTTTACAATACTTCTTGAAACAATTGCAGATTGCTGGTGCTCCATGGTTAGCAGCAGCTGCATCGAATTATCTGATTGGCTAATGAAGTTGGCATTTGTTTAGCCCCAGATGATGCAAAAAGCCATCTGACTGTTGTCCAAGTTACAAATTGCTTTGATTTCTTTGTGTAAGATGATCTCTTCACTGACTGTAATTCGTTTATTCCTAGAAGCAAAACTTCCGAAGTAGTTTTGCAGTATTGCTCTGCCACCGTCAGCCTGAGGCCCATTCACATTGATGCAATTTCTTCCATTGCCATGCATGGCAGCGTGCCAGCAGTCATGCGATTTTTTTGCACATTTTCACAAAACGCTATAGTGTACATGCAGCGTAATGGTTTCAGTCAGCTGTGAGCACATGTGTACTACAGCAGATCCTCAAAGAAAACAAAAGAGTGCAGCGCTGTAATCCCTAAAATCCAATATCAATATGCATACATATAAATTGCACTTAGCCAAGATGTGGATATGAAGTGACAAACGTGCACAATGCAAGGTAAAGTGATATTGGTGAGAACTTATCAATGTGCTAGGTGTTCATGATCATAAACCGTCCTAAAAACAATTCATAAAGTGCTTTAGCAGTGATGATCCATCTGTGAGGGTCTCAGACAGGTGCTCCTTACAGCATTCTGGTGACATGCCGTGAAACTGTTAGGAATACGCACTCACCAGATGCGCAATCTTTATGCGCATATATGTATATGTAAAGCTCAAGGATGTCTGCTGGAAACCTCCTTCAGAACCGGGTCAGCCTGGTCTGGTCACAAAACGTTATGGATCCCCTTCCCCTGGGCAGTTTGCAGCACCTAAAGCCTCACTCCGGAATGGGCTCTGTACAGGTATCGGCTCACAAAGAACCAAAAAAAAGAAAGCCTGTAGTGCAGTGTTTCCAAGCAATATCCATTACTTGTAAGCAAAAGACAAGTGAAACACTGACCATGTCAGATGCTAAGATGGACGCTGGACCTACAAGTGGTCACGGCGGCAAAGGCGTCACTGCGCACGGCTCCTCCTCGACGTGTTTCGTGATAAGGCATGTATTCATGAGGGGTTTGCTCAGATCCTGATTGGGCCCTACCTCTGCCCCTCCCTCTCCCAGAAGATGCGTTTTCACTTTTAAATTACCGTAAAATTTTTTATTTTATTTTTTTTTTTAACCTGCAGTACAGGTTTACATTGTAGCACTCATTCACATTTGCCTAATGTTTAAATGTTCTGTAGCTCAGTCCTGTCCCTTTCACATTATGATTGAGTGTCGCACATCCTCCATGTGACTCGCGCTGGCTAATATTTACCGCTGATAATGTGCACACAGTGAATGTTCGTCAGTATAATATAATCTCTAGATTGTGTGTTGTGTAAACAGCCAGCATATTCTGTCACAAAAGTGTTCACACCATCCACCGCTGATACAGACCAATTGGCAGGAATTTTTTTTTTTTTTTTTTCTTTGGAAACTTCCTTGATGTAGGGTCTACCAATCTGTATTAGTCACAGCTGTCTATGAGGGGATCCCCCCTTACTTTGGACAGATTTCCTCTCACTTCCTGTTGTGTCTCTAGAACAGGAAGTCCACGGAAATCACACCAACAGGACACAGGCAGAAAATAGAAAAGTTTTAAAGCCAACTTTCATCAATCCCCTTCTCACTCATGCTCCTCCCCCCCCATATCAATTTTGTGTATGTGTGTAAAATGTATTTCTTTTAGAATACCTTTTTTTAGGGATCCCTTTCTGAACCTGGATTGTCACCAAGGCAGAAATGATGTATTCGTTGCCCAAAGCCTCCTGTGATACCCACATCATTCATCCCAGGAGGCTGGGTACGCTATGTGCCACAATGTGTCATCAGGGGGTCGGCTGCACGGATGCAAAAGAGACCGCTGGCTCCCTGATGACAACAGAGAAGATGGCAGCTTAGGACCAGGTGTGTACACCGCTGGATTTGATGGGCATACAGGTTGTGTGTGTGTTTTATGTCAACCTTACCTTTCTTAGTGGTGAAAATAGAACAAAATGCAGGTGTGACCCTATTTGTCTTTGAAGTTGTGGTTTGATGCATAGCTGCTGGTAATGGTCAGTGTTACCCAGAGGTGTATTTACCACAAGGCAAACAAGGCATTTTCCTAGGGCGGAATTTTTCAGTGGGGCAGCAGCATTTAAAAGGGGGGCAGTGCTGCCCCCCGAATGAAGAGATGGAAGAAGGGACACACGTTGCATGGGGAGCATGTGGGATCTAAGAGAGGCTGCGGGCTGCTTGATGGTGTATGCAGAGCCTAACTCTTGTTACCGGGGATGTCTGGAGCTCTAACTGGGTCTTCTGTCTCGCTGGGGGTAGTGGGGGTTGTCAGTGTATGGGGGTTGGTGGTAGTGGAGGTCTCTCTTGGGTGTGGGGGGGGTGGTGCTGGGGCGTTGTTGGTCAATGTCAGGCTCTCTTCATAGGGGAGGGGTTGTTGTTGGGGTCGGTGTCAGGGTCTCTCTCTGTGGGGGGGGGGAAGCTGATTTTTGTATTGCCTAGGGCAGCATGAAACCTAAATACACCACTGGTGTTACCTCTGCTTCTTTGTATAAGTGGGCTAGCAATGGGTGTATAGGTGCATCTGTTACTTTGCTGTGATTGGGCACAGTGACAGCTTCTATACAGCACCATTTGTATATGTCAAAAGTAGTGTTTGTTACTATAAATTGAGAAGTCATATTTATAGTAACCTTCTTTGATCTATTTTTATTGCTTGGTGATTTTGAAGCTTTGGGGGATATATTCCCATCACTGATGTATTACTTTATTCTTTTCTTCCTCCAGTGGTGAGCGGAGGACCCCTGGAGAACCCCTACAGGCTGAAACAGTTCCACTTCCACTGGGGGGTGAACAACGACTGGGGCTCTGAGCACACGGTGGACAGCAAGGTGTTCCCAGCAGAGGTCAGTGCCTCTTCTATATCTCCTCCGAGCTGTACTGACCAATAGATATTTCCTAAGCAGCTCAATACGCAAAATTAAAGCTGACATTTAAACGGTTTGCTTTTTGCCTTCCTTGGTTACTCGTTTCTCATCAAAATGCTTTTATTATATACTTTATTTTATACCCACTGATAGCATCACCAAGTCTCTGTGCTTCTTTATTCAATGCAGATAGATCATGGCTGGTGGGAGGGGCTAGCAGAGCGCTGTACAAATCTTCCGTTCCCCAGTACCCTTCCCCAGTACTCCTCTCGAGCGCTCAGGCCTGATACAAGCAGGGGTGGACTGACCATTTGGAAACTCGGGCACTGCCCGAGGGCCCGGGGTCAGTAGGGGGCCCCATGAGATGCCCCTGGTACCTTTTTCATAGGCTTTTTTGAGTTTGGGCAAGGACACAGGGGCCCCATGATCCCCTATTGCCTGGGGCCCCATGAGTTGTCACTCCGCCCCTGGATGCAAGCAATCTGTTGGCTCTTGGGGGAGTTATGAAATATTTAAATACCACCTAATCGGTGGGTGTCGGTCTGGAGGAGTGGGCGTTCCTAAGCAGGCTGTATTTGCATGCATGAGGAGAATGACAGGCGCATGGTTCAGCAGTCCATGTGTATATTGTAATGAGTTCCAAAGTGGGCAGGGGTAGTTCAGTAGGCACTTAGGGCAGGCTGCGATGGAGCGAAGCAAACTCTGCAGTAGAAGAAACAAAGAACACAGCGCCTCTAAGTGTATATTGTGATAATATTTAATGAGAAGGTAAGTGGCAACTCATATCTTAGATATTAAAAACAGGCACTTGCCTGATGAAAGAGGGCGCCGGCTGCCGTTGGACCCGCGCATGCTCAGAAACGCGTCGCACACCAATGACGTCAAACGCCCAACATGACCAACCCTGGACATCTTGGACACTCAGCCAGGCTTCACCACCTATGCTTTACCTGACACAGCACCATCTGCTGGCGGACCAAGGCTATCTCCTCTCTGGATCAGTCACCTTACATCTGGCTACAGACGTTGAACATCACCTCCCTATGAGCCTGTATTTAATATCTAAGATGTGAGTTGCTACTTACCTTCTTATTAAATATTTTCACAGTATACACTGAGAGGCGCTGTGTTCTTTGTTTATTGTATTTGCATGCAGTAATTCCCACATGTGATGTTAAGCCTCCACGATTTACAGAGCTGAAATCTAGTGAAGGAAAGGGGTGGAGCAGGCCAAGTTAGGCTGGGGAGGAAAGCGCCAGATGACGCTGGATGTCCTCCAGCCAGGAAATGAGGCAGGCTCTATCTGACTTGCTGCAGCTTCTAATGCACATTGTGAGAAGATCACAGTGTGCAGTGAAATCAGAGTAAGACTTTTCAGTCCAGGCGAGGAGGGGGCATGGAAAGCAAAATAAAATCAGAATAAAATTCAGCATTAAATAACTTTTTATTAAAATTTCCGATCCTTTTAGCTGCACCTCGTACACTGGAACTGCTCCCGTTATCGCAGCTTTGAGGAGGCCATCATGGAGGAGAACGGTCTGGCGGTTATTGGAGTGTTCTTAAAGGTAGATATAAATGTTTCTTTACCAATGATTTTTGTGAACTTTTTTTATGATGCTGTTAAGCAGTAAATTCTGGTGTTTCCACAGGTTGGCCAGCACCACTCGAAGCTGCAGAAGTTGGTGGACATTCTACCGTCTGTCAGATATAAGGTAAACCTTCTGGTGAAACATCATCTGTTCTGTAAATCCTGGGACAGGCCAAGGCAGAGCACTTGCTGACAATGGTAGAGTCTACTTGTTGTAATTGCATGATCAGTCTTCAGATGGCCATACACTGTCCAATCTGTTGATAGAGATCTAAGTCTTCTAGAAGCGAAGCAGTCCTCTCAGCCTTTGCAGCATACATCACCAAAAACATCAAACCCCCAGTACGGTAAACCCTAGGAGAGGGGTAGGGATGCCTTAAATTTGACCTTTGTATAGACATCCAAGACAAGCAGTGACCCAGTTACGTGAGCAGAATTCTCAAAATCCCATCTACAAATAGAGCATCATTGCTGAGCTTTAAAGGAAATAAATGTATTTAAAATATTTTTTCTTTTGGCGTTTTATCATAAATTCTAGGCTAAAATGAAAAGCTATCCTTCCACCCATATATTCGTTAACTACAGAGTGTGATGGATGGAGTCAGTCCCTTGTTATTTAATACAGTAGAAAAATCTCTCTGCCAGAGTTTTTTTATAACATAAAAATGCAGCAGGGATGCTGTTAACCCCGCATAATGGGCACAGCTGTTGTAAAAGACCTGGAAACGCAGCACAGGGATGGTGGGAACCACTCATATTGCGCATAGCAGATGTACAGACCCAGGAACTCCGCACAGGGATGGTGGGAACCCCTCATAATGGGCACAGCAGGTGTACAGACCCGGGAAATCAGCACAGGGATGGTGGGAATCCCTCATAATGGGCACAGCGGGTGTACAGACCCGGGAAATCAGCACAGGGATGGTGGGAATCCCTCATAATGGGCACAGCAGGTGTAAAGACCTGGGAACTCAGCACAGGGATGATGGGAACCCCTTGTAATGAGCACAGCAGGTGTACAGACCTGAAAACTCAGCACAGGGATGGTGGGAACCCCTCATAATTGGCATATCAGGTGTACAGACCCGGGAACTCAGCATAGGGATGGTGGGACCCCCTCATAATGGGCACAGCAGGTGTACAGACCCTGGAACTCAGCACAGGGATGAATGGGAACCACTCATAACGGGCACAGCAGGTGTAAGGACCTGGGAACTCATCACAGGGATTATGGGAACCCCTTGTAATGAGCACAGCAGGTGTACAGACCTGAAAACTCAGCACAGGGATGGTGGGAACCCCTCATAATTGGCACATCAGGTGTACAGACCTGGGAACTCAGCATAGGGATGGTGGGACCCCTCATAATGGGCACAGCAGGTGTAAAGACCTGGGAACTCATCATAGGGACAGTGGGAACCCCTCATAATGGGCACAGCAGGTGTAAAGACCTGGGAACTCATTGCAGAGATGGCTGGGACTCCTCATAATTGGAGCAGCAGGTGTACAGACCCACTGCTTTTCTTTTCCGCATTACACAATTTCAGCCACTAGAGGTCTCCAGACTACCACTGAGATATGTTAAACCCTGCCACGCATGTAATTGCACATTGTCCTGTCATGTCTACCAAAAGCTTTTTGGCTGTGTGCTGCTTTTAATGTTCTCATACCAGCAGGGTGTATCCACAGACACAAGGGGGGGCAATGCTTGGGACCCATTCATATCATTGCGCTACAGTAATAGGCTGACTACATGTATAGATGCGCTGTGGTGCTCTTCTTTGTGAAAAGCACCCCAATTCACATGCTAAGCGCATGTGTGCTGCAATACAGAGCACCAAGTATGGTGTCCATTGTATTGCGAAAAAATGCAGCATGTTCACTTTATCTCCATTCATTTTGAATACGTCAACATGTCTGATGCATGGCAGTGCCTTGGGCAGTTTCTTTGTACAGTTACAGCATTGTCGCCTTTTCCTGCAGAATCCTGATTTTGGACTACAGCTCTAATTTCAAAAAGATGGGCATGCAAAATCTACATTAAAACAGAATGCAATGATTTGCAAATCTCATAAACCCATATTTCATTCACAATGGAAAATATATTAAATGTTTAAACTGAGAAAATGTACCATTTTAAGAAAATAATAAGGTCATTTTGAAATTGATGGCAGCAACACATCTCAAAAAAGTTTGGACAGGGCAACAAATAACTGGCAAAGTAAATGCTGGAAGAACATTTTGCAATTAATCAGGTTAAGGGTTTTTTCACCTCACTTTTTGAAATGAATGGAAACCACAGAAAAACCCCATCAAAAATGCTATGAGCCGCTGGGAAGTGCTTTGTCCAGAGAAAAAGCAAATGCATTATGCGTTGCATTAAATTTAAAGCACCGCGGCAAAAATGCATATGGAGCAGTGTGAAAGAGCCCTTAACCTGATTAATTGCAAAATGTTCTTCCAGCTCTTCCTTGTTAGTACCACTTACTTTTCCAGCTTTTTTTGTTGCCCTGTCCCAATTTTTTTGAGATGTGTTGCTGCCATCAATTTAAAAAATTACCTTATTTTCTTAAAGTGGAATTCCACTTCCAGTCAAAAAATAAAAATCAGCAGCTACAAAAACTGTAGCTGCTGACTTTTAAAAAAAACAGCCACTTACCTGTCCCTCGGTCCCGTGGTGTGTCCCCTGCAGTCTGTTTTACCGGCCGTCCTGTATTCCAGGAGGCCGGCATCTTCAGTGTGGGCACCCGGCTGTGACAGCTTGCGGCTTCACAGCCAGGTACCCATTGCCCATGTGCGAGTAGCGCTGCGCTTTCTGAATGGTCCTGCAGTCTTCTGGGACCTGTGACGTGTCCTAGAAGACTACAGGGAGGGAGGACACCTTCCGTTTCCGATCGCCTAGGTGATCGGACCGGAAGTGGGAGCGGGTACCTGTCGATTTCAGTTCCTCGCTCCCCTCCACCCCCCACCCCCAAAGGTGCCAATCCTTAATGGGGAGCGGGGGAGCAGTCCTTAAAGCGGAACTTCCCCTTTTGGGTGGAGCTCCGCTTTAAAATGGTACATTTTCTCAGTTTAAACATTTTGATGTGTTTTTCTATTGTGAATAAAATATGGGTTTGAGATTTGCAAATCTTTGCTTTCTGTTTTTATGTAGATTTTACATAACGTCCCACCTGTTATGGAATTGGGGTTATAGTTCTCATCTGCTGCTGGAGTGCACATTTTCAGGAAGTTCACATAAATTGCTTACAGGATATGCACTGTGCTTGAAATATATTCCTCAATAGCCACAAGAAATCTAAATCCACTTTCTTCGCACCAAATGCCTTTGCTGCTTTTACAAGGTAACATCTGGGTTTTCAGTGACATCTTCACTGTGCCGTTCATAGCCTGAGCAGAGCTGTGAGAGGGGTCCAGAAGGCTCTACCCACTACAGAAAACTACAGCAGGGGTGGCAGAGACAAGACCAGTCTATCTGCACAAGGAGAGAGCAGCAGGGACAGGTCATGGTTACTGGAATACTGCACGGGTCTGGAAGAAATACACAAAGATTCAGGGAGATTACACATGACAAATGGATTTGGACAATATTTGCTTATCCCGGAGTTGCTTTTAATAAGAAATCCTCTTTTTCCTTCCAGCGCTCTACATAACTAATCATTGCTCTGTGAGGGTTTATTGTGCCTTAAGGTCATCTTGTTTCCACTTTGAAGTTTTCGGTGTTTCCTCACTGTAATAAGATTACTCTGAGGCCGTCACATTGAGCTTCACTAAATAAAAGATTTTCCTTCTGTTGGGATTTTTTCAGATCCTTAAGTCTGTCTTAACGTTTCCCTCCGGCAGAGTCTCAGCTGCTGCTTTTATGTCTCCCCGTTTCCTGAGCACTTTGATTTGCTAAGACAAATAAGTTGGAGACTCTGAACAATTATATTTATATTTTTTCATGGGATACTAGAAATTCCTGAATTTTTTTTTGGTTCCTAAATTGCATATCTACATTTTGTAGAATGTTCTCGAAGGTAATTGTCATAAAGGGGTTTATAGGAGGCTTTTCAGAGAATTCAGGGACATGCATTTATGTTTTTCAAGGGTTCATGTAATAAAATATAATTTCCTGAAAAAATACAATATATAAAACGTAAGTTAACCTCTTACTGACCGCTTAACACATCTCGGCGGTGAAAGGAAAAGTGGGCTTTAACGTTTCACTGCCGCCTATATGCGTCTATGGTGCGCTCCCAACATGCTGACCGAGCTATCACCATCAGCTCTTGGTCACAACGTCTGATTAGGAACCAACAGGACACACTCCCGATCATGTGACTGCTGTGAGAGCCAATAACAGCAGTCACGTGAAGCTGTGTTGCCTCCCCAGCATAGCCCACTTAAAGGTCTTCAGGTAGGTGGAGTGAAGGAGTTGTTTAAATATGAATAATATAAAATGAGTAGCTAAGTGGGTAGCACTTCTGCCTGGCAGTACTAGGGTTGTTGGTTCAAATCCCAACCACGGCACCTCCTGCCTAGAGTTTGCATGTTCTCCCTGTGCCTGTGTGGGTTTCCTCTGGGTACTCCAGTTTCCTCCCACACTCCAAAGACATGCTGGTAGGTTAATTGGATCCTGTCTAAATTGTCCCTAGTATGCGTATGTATGAATGTGAGTTAGAGACCTTAGATTGTACACCCCTTGAGGGTTAGGGACTGATGTGAATGTACAACATATATGTAAAAGCGCTGCGTAATTTGACAGCGCTATATAAGTACCTGAAATACATAAATAAATATAAAATAACATATATATATGTTTAATTAAATTAATGACGATGATAATAAACTTTTATTATTGATTACTAATAATATTCAGGATTTATATATAGCGCCAACAGTTTGCACAGTGCTTTACAATACGAGGGCGAAATAATAATTAGATTGAATAACCTAATTTTAAAGTTACAGTATATAGTAAAAAAAAAAAAAGTTATAACAAGGCAGAAAGTATTTTATTTAAAAAAAAAAAAAAAAAAAGTCAGATAATACTTCCTAGAACTCGAAGAGGAATTTGCCGCTATCTTAAGGCCATTTACCCCTCTAACCCCTTCTTCCCCACAATTCCCCCTGTCATATTTTTTTTTTTTTTTTTTTAAAATCTGAGATTTCTGAGGTGCAATAATATAAGATATAAAAATGACTACTCATAATCATAATCATAATAATAAAAAAAATGTTTACATAAAAATGCTAGAATGCTGATATGAAAATGTATGTCATGTTCTATACTTTGTATAGCTTCTTGTTCCTTTATATTGAAAAAAGATTTAAATTCATATTTTAAAAAATGAAAAAAAGCAATAGTTGGGGGGGGGGGGGGGGGGGGTTTAAGGAGATTACAAAACACATGACACATGACAATTGTTTGATGCACAGTGCAAACTAAATGTCATCCAATCCAAGTTCACATTCCTTTTTATTTCCTTTTTTTAGGACGCTCTTACTGAATTCAATTATTTTGACCCCTCCTGCTTTCTGCCAACCTGTAATGATTACTGGACATATTCTGGCTCCTTGACCACGCCACCGCTGACCGAGTCTGTGACCTGGATTATCAAGAAGAAACCCATTGAGGTCGACCATAGTCAGGTGACTTGCTTTCTGAAATTCTTGTGATTTAAAGTCCATGGGAGTTGGTGACCCCAGCGACCCGACCGTTCCTCCCGCTGCAGAAATGTGACAGAGACGTGTTAGCATTTGCTGTGTCTCCGAGAATTTCTCTCCACTGTGATGGGATAGCTGGTTATTTCTCACCTTGACTTTTGTAGCTCCCTCCTCATTGGCCTGCCTAATTGCAGGCTATCCCCTCTTCAGTCTATCATGAATGCTCCTGCCAGACTCATCCTCCTTACCAACCATTCCATGTCTGCCGTCCCTCTTTGCCAATCCCTCCACTGGCTTCCCATTGCCCAATGAATAAAATTCAAAATATATTAACAATAACTTACAAAGCCATTTTATAACTCTGCCCCCAATTACATCATCAATCTTGTCTCCAAATATCACCCTAACCTCTCTGCTCCTCCCACTACCTCCTGCTCTCTAGCTCCCTTTTCTTCTCCATGCTCCTCTACAGGACTTCTCCAGAGCCTCCCCCATCCTCTGGAACTCTCTACCCCAATCTATCTGACTATTGCCTACTCTGCCCACTTTTAGGTGATCTCTGAAAACTCATCTCTTCAGGGAAGCCTATCCTGCCTTTAGCTAATAACCAAATTTTATGTTTCTCCCATCAGTTTGTCCCCCCACTGTTATTACCTTTTGTACCACTAGCCCCTCCCTCTTAAATTGTAAGCTCCAAGGATCAGGCCCTCCTAACCCTCTTGTATTGAACTGTATTGTTGCTGTATTGTCTCCCGTTATATTGTAAAGCGCTGAGCAAACTGTTGGAGCTATATAAATCCTGTATAATAATAATAATATATAAATCCTGTATAATAATAATATATAAATCCTGTATAATAATAATAATATATAAAATCCTGTATAATAATAATATATAAAATCCTAATAATAATATATAAATCCTGTATAATAATAATAATATATAAATCCTGTATAATAATAATAATATATATAAAATCCTGTATAATATAATAATAATAATAATATATAAATCCTGTATAATAATAATAATCCTGTATAATATATATATCCTGTATAATAATAATAGCTGGTGGATTTAGGATTTAGAGTAACTGCAAAGGAAGGTATTCAGGACTTACCGCTCCTGCTACCCATGCAACCAATTGCTGCTGTATTGGAGAAAAATTGCCTCTTGAAGACACTTCAGAAACCGACACTTCAGGAGTATGGGGTTTCTGGTCCACCCACCACTCCCTATGTCCTGTTTTCATGTGACTGGCAGAAGTAACCATTGAGTGTAGCTAATTTGGAAATTTTCCCCCTGAATTAGGAAGATTTTTCAAACCTATGAATTTCTCTGTGATTCAATGGGAGCAGGGAACTGCGCTGCATCTGAGCACCACAAACTAAAATCACAATTTTAATACATTTTTATTATTCAAAGCAAACTCATCTATCCATCAATGTCTCCATGTGTTATTTTGTTGAGAAATCACTTTGCAGCCTAGCCTATCTGGCTGCAGCCATATTGGGTAAGGGCAGATGATCCATGTAGCATTTACTTCCTGGAATCCATCTGCCCTTAGCTCAGGCATGCAGGCAGAAGGGTGTGCTTAGCTGAGAAAGCCCTTCCTTCCCTTTTGAAGACTCCTGGGATGTATGATTTCATTTGTTTAGGCCTGGAAGCCAGGGAGTAATTGAAAAAATCTAAAACAAAAGTCTAAAACAAGCAAATAGAATATACTTTTCTATTTACTAATGCTAGGAGCAGAAGGATTACAATTAGTCAGTGTTGATTGAGAGAGTGAAGTTCCACTTTAAAGTTCATCTTTTGCAAAAAAAAATAAATAAATGCACCAACATTTTGCAGAAAAAAAGGCTTTTTTCGTTTATTTTTATTTTTGTTTCTTTTGCATAGGATCCTGCAGAACATTGCAGCTGTGATCCTGCAGACTCTTCCTCCAACTCCATGTTATAGACTTTTGATTACAGAACTGGTGAAAGTGTCATTGGACTGCCAGTGCGGGTGGTAATCCATGGCATTTGTGTTCCATTGATCATTGAGTCTTTCTGCCATGATGAGACTTTATTCATGCTTAGCTCTCTGATGTGGCAGTGCAGGTGGAGCTGGGAAGGAATAGAACCCCTGAGGATGTTTTGTTACTATTTGGGACTCTGTTACCCCTGGTTCATATATCCGCGGGTCACGTTTTGTGCGGCCATGAGAGCCCATTTATTTGAATGGACTCCCGTGCCCCGGGACACGCAGGAAAGAATTCCCTGCACTTCTTCGAAAACCGCAGCCTGTATGGGAACCTTGGTTCCCAGTGCTGTTGCGATTTCCAGTGTGGGCGGCATGCCATTAGAATGAATGGTACCCGCCCGTGGGTCTGCATTCTTCTTTATGGGTGGTGCAGCTGCTCGGATTTTTGTGCGGATCTGCAGCAGCACCACCCGCACATATGTGAACCTAGCCTTAGAGAAATTTGTCCCTGTTGCAAACTTTCTCTGACTTCCTGTCTGATGAAACAATTCTCACCATGACAAAGTGGGGGGAAAATGTCACATATTGGGGTCTGTATGCATGGAAAGGTAATGGAAGCGTACTTGAAGGTGGTGGTGGGGGGGGGGGGGGTGGTTCAGCAGAGGGTATTGACAGAGGAGGGCATCAGGCTAGACAACTGCAGAGCAAAGGGGAGGCTGCACAGGGGTGCACTTGGAGACAGAGTGTATTGGGGCACTGGAGAGGGCAACAGGATCAATGGACCGCACAAGGGGTCACTGGTCATAGGAGCGCAGAGGGATCACTGGAGCGCACAGGGTTAACTGGAGAGCCTGGAGGGCAACCGGGGTCACTGGAGATGGGCACTAATGTTTGCAGCAGGGGCTCAGCTTGGGTGTAGAAAAGCGTTGTTTGAATACAGAGCAATGTATCACAAGGATTTTTAGAAGCACGCTAATCAGGAGAGCTGTCTTCTGATTGGCCGCGGAATGGGCACACTCCGGGTAAAACCGGCGTGAGCTCTGATGGAGCCCGGAATAGCATTAAACAGTTGACAGGGGATATAATCATTTGGCTAGCTGTTCACTTTTACGTAATCTCTCTCCATGTGTCACCTGTCCGCCTCCAACTTCAGAGGACCCTAAATCTGCAATTTCACCTGTGTCCAGGGAGCATAGAGCTGACCCCAGATGTGGTGATACTAAGCCAGGAAGGTAGTAGAGTGGTTCACTGACTGGCCAGGGCGTGTTTTGTCGCCTGACTGGCTCGCCAGAATAACAAATCCTCTGGCAGGCAAAACAGTAAGTATATTGAATAATGTATTTGTTTGTTCGCCTGGAGTTCCACTTATAGAATATCTGACTAATGCCTCTGCGGTCTTTCCCTCACAGTTGGCCGTGTTTCGCAGTCTACTCTTCAGCTCCGTGGGGGAGGAAGAGAAAACCATGGTAGACAACTTCCGCCCTCTGCAGCCGCTAATGAACCGCACTGTCCATTCCACATTCCAGCCGGCGCTCAAATTGTCTGACCTCAAAAAGGAAGATGCCAAATCGCAACGTCAGCAGACGGTGTAAATGCCTTGCTTGCCGGAGGCCAGGAACATTGGAGAGGTTTGAGTGAGATGCAAAGCTCTTGCCATCCTGCAAACGGCACACCACCACAAATCTAGCCGGATGCCTACTTCCAGATATATGTAGTGATACCGAGTATGACCATATCAACCAACAACGCCATGGATGGATCACCTTTTATAGAACACTTTTACTATATATTGTTTTACAGGGTATTTTGTGGGGGGGGGGGGGGGTTGTGTTTTTTTTTTTGTTTTGTTTTTTGTGTGTTTTTTTTTTTTTTTTAATACTTTTTCTGGATAAACATAATGGTTCTAAGTGCCCTTAAGGCTTAATATCCATATTAATTTCAGGATTTTGGAGCAGGCCGTATCTGGTCATATAAGTTAGGCCTGTGTAGAATGGTCCATCTTCATACTACCTAGTTGTCAGGGGCTACGGAAGGTTAGTGGACACTGATCCACCTCACTGGGGCTTAGTGTGGTTTTAGCGGTGCTGTGGATTTAATAGGAGATACATAATATTGATCAGGGAGAGGGACCATAGACATGGTGCTGATCTTTCATAAAATCGGTGTGGACTTTTCATGGGCGGGTTAGGGTTATGTTTATTGAGGTTTACCCATATAACTATTATGCAGAGCTGTGAGCTACTTAATCGACATTGTGGTAGCTCATACGCCTAATTATAGAGTGTTATTTTTTTTCTCTTTTCTTTTATTGTGGTTTGATTGTTTTGTGGGTAGGGGAGTGTTTGCTGACTTTTTATTAATGATAAATGTCCATGAATTTTGTAAGTGTCCAGCCTTAATTTGAACCTGTGCTTTACCCATGCAAGCGACGGAACAGGTCCACTTTAATGGAAATTATTGCAGCTGTACATACTCCTCTTTCCTTCACTTTGCTCCATTTAGCTCAGAGAGGAAGACTGCAGACTTGGAGCTTACACAGGGCTGAGGACCATCTCCCCCATCCCATGTCAGAGTGCTGCGAGCATTAGGGGCCAAGCACATGTGGGGTTGAGAAAAATGAGTCAAATGGGGGGGGGGGGGGGAATTAGTGGGTCACATGGGGAGAGGAGAGGGAGGGAAGTGGGTCACATGGAGGGAAAGTAAGTAACAGGAGGGTGGGAAGGGTGATGGAAGTGAGTAATGGGGGGGGGGGTGAGGACAGTGGGTCACATGGGGGGGGGGGGAGGATAGTGGGTTACACTTGGGGGGGGGGGGGGGGGGGGGGGGGCTGGAAGTGAGCTGGTGGGGCCATGATTATATTGATCCTGTTGTTTTGCACTTGGGCACAGGTTTTCTTTTTTGCAGACTACGCACAAGAACATTGGTCTGGTTCAGACTTCAGATCACCGCTGATAATTCCAGCATTTGTAGTGAAAGCTGATGAATCGCCTGATTCTGGTAGCTGTGTAGATTGTGATAGCGTAGCATGTAGGAATATTAACAGGGCTTCCTTCTTTGATTGGTGTCACCAGAGCTCAATAAAATAATGCATTTGAAGGCAATAAAAGAAACAGGTTTCCACTTTTTACTGCTGAATTGTGTGTTATGACTGGAGTTCTGCTTTAATGCAGACCTAAAACCTAATCATGTCCCCATCCCATGTGTGATCGTGTCTCAGTATGCTCATACAAGCTAAAAAAACAGCAGCTACAATACTTGCAGAGATGACCGCTCTATCTGGAGCTGGTCACGTGATTGAGTGCCAAGGCATTGGTCACATGATTAAGTGCCAAGGCATTGCTCACATGATTGAGTGCCAAGGCATTGGTCACATGATCTTGTCTGAAGAGTTAGGATAAGTGTTCCAGCAGAGATGGTGAGCTCTGTCTGACCTTATCCTGTCTCCTTTTGTCTGCTGGAACTGTGGACAGGTTCTAACTGACAGCACTCTGATTGGAGTGATAGATGTACAGGCAAATAAATATACCGTATCTAACGAGGAATTTTAGGACTGGGGATGTTGGTAGTTTTACTATATAGATGGATGGATAGAAAGTATGAGAGGATAAAGCTTTTTTTGTTTTGGGTTCCATGTGAACTGTATCTGTAAAGCTGCTGTAGATCCTCCTGAAGGCAGAGGAGAGGTCGCTGTCCTTGTATTGCACATTGGTGGGTCTTCTAGATAATTAAAGTGTCCTTTTGTCTCATCGACCTCACTTTGTAACAATGTTTTCAAATGTTTTCCATATTCTTCCTTTGTCATCTGCCATTTTAAAGGGTCATTTTTTTTTTTTCTAGTATTCAATGCATGTGATCTTTTCTCTTCTATCTTGGGGGAGGGATGCAGGGGGTACTTTGATTTAAATGTTGGCACTTCTATATATTTTTTTTTTTTTTAAGGGCAGCTGGTATTAAACTTATGGCAAAAGCAAATGGTCCTCATTTCACAAGAAACTAAAAAAAGACCAAGTTGTGTCTGATGTCAGCAGCTGCGAATTATTTGATTTGACTGCATGCTCAAGGTAAAAAAAAATGGCTGCCACTGTGTAGGTCACCGGTGCACCTTATTGTTCTGTTTTTACGGTTTGTGTTTTATACATTGCAAACCTTTCATTTTGTTGTCCTGTTAATATATACATATTACTGTACAACCTTGTGCTTTGAGCGTCTTGTTAATCTTCTGTAAACTCTGATGGTGTATAATGAGGAAAACAGAAAGCGAGCTGTTTTGTTCCATTGTGTGCTTTCACAGTGCGATCATTTAATGAACACAACGTTTTAATCTTCATTCAATGTTTTAAAAAGTTCTATAGATCGGCGTCTGAATTTGTTGTCTGTCTATACATAATAAATAACCCCAAATACTTCTAGACGAGGGGTGTTCTAAGATTTTATATTCTATATGGCCTTCTTTTTATTTCTTGACATAGAAACATTGTAATGATTAAACTTGGAAGATGTTCTATATAAAAATGTTCTACATGTGATTGGCTCCCGTCTCTTACTATTTTGATCTTGGAATGTCTGTGAAGGACCTTGTTTATCGCTGTCATGGTTTATCTATGAGCAGTTCACATTCACCGGGACTTGTTTGTATTATTGCAAATGTTTTCACCTCTCATCCAAGTAGCTCCTTGGTTTCATACCTTTACTGAAAAAGTGCAATGAAAGCTGAAATTTTAATCTGCCACTATTTTGTCTTCTCTGATTCCCCCTCTCCCCTGATCGGCATGCTAATGAAAAATGGAAATAAAACCTTTTACATTTTCATTACATTGCTTATTTGAGACCCAGTGATGTCACCACTGGGTCTCTGGTTTTCTATATCCAATGCAGATCATGGCTGGTGGGAGGGACCAGCGAGGGCTGTACATGGCTTCCCCAAAACATCACAGCACCCTGCCGCTCTACTCCTTTTAAGAGCCTCTCGGTCCTGATAGAAGGAGTAGGCTGGCTCTTTGGAGGAATTATGCAAATATCAAAATGCCTTGATGGGTGGGTGTCAGTCTGGTGGAGTGGGCATTAACAGACAGGCTGTATTTGCATGCAGACCGCCCACATGTGATGCAAAGATCTGAATACCACAGAATGAAAGAGGCGGGGGAGCCAGGGACAGTCCAGCTTGGGAGGGAGGAGCTAGATGATGCTGGATGTCCTCCAGCCAGGAAATGAGGCGGACTCTATCTGACTTGCTGCCGCTTCTAGTGCACATTGTGAGAAGCTCACAGTGTGCAGTGAAATCAGAGTAAGCCATTTCAATCAAGGAGAAGAGGTCACATTTAAATGCTGATGTTTAGTTTGGTCTAGAACTCCGCTTTATGCCTATATTTTTCTTTTGCTCAGAAGGTTCAATGCAACGCTGGACATCCTACACCGCTGTTCCCATACATACCCCACTCCAATCTACTTTGTCTTTTGTAACAATCTGTCCATTGATTGTTTTCCGTGCACAGTAACCGAGCTTCCTCTGCCGTGGTGGGAAAGAGATTCCTTTTATTTTTTTTTGTTTAATTCTTTTCCTAACATGGGAAAATAATGAGAAGAGATTCTATTGAAAGTTAGGCCTGTCCCGTGTCTGTCCTGGTTGGCTTTTCTATGTAGGTCGATGGAGCACAAAGCACTTCCATGATGGCCGGAATCTGATTGTATAATCTAATTACTAGGCTCATTATTGGCCTGATGGACAAACCGGCCGGCGCTGCCAAGTGTTGACTGTCAGGAGAGCAGGATTATGAGTGCCGGTCAAAAACGACAATAGCTGCTGCCTAGTGGTAAAATCTGCAGCCGGTCCTCACCTCTATCCCTGTCCTCCTTTTTATTCTTTATGGGTGCTTTATCCCAAAGAGATCACTTTTTTTTTTTTTTTTTTTTTTTGAGCCTGCAGTGCTACACACCCTCACATTGCAGTGTCTAGGCCTTAGCTCGGCACCTGAAATGTGACACTATCAGACCTATATCATAGAAACATCCAGAGGCTATTCAAAATGAATGCTATTTTCAAATTAATGCAGCTCTGTAATTAATAACAGGCATATTAAATACAGCTCCGAAATACGTTCGTTCCTAACCCCAGACACTACTAAACAACTCATTCACTCCCTTATTATCTCACGACTCGACTACTGTAACTCCCTCCTCACCGGCCTGCCTCATCACAGACTATCCCTGCTTCAGTCTATCCTGAACTCATCCACCTTACCAACCGCTCGGTATTTGCCACCCCCCTCTGTCATTCCCTCCACTGGCTTCCGATTGCCCAACGCATAAAATTCAAACTACTAACACTGACGTACAAAGCTATTCATAATACTGCCCCTAACTACCTCACCGACCTGATACCCAAATACCACCCAACCCGTACCCTTCGCTCTTCACAAGACCTCCTACTCTCTAGCTCCCTGTTCTCCTCCTCCCATGTCCGACTCCAGGACTTCTCCAGGTCTTCCCTCATCCTCTGGAACTCACTACTCCAATCCATCAGACTGTCACCTACCCTCCTCATCTTTAGGCGCACCCTGAAAACCCATCTCTTCAGGGAAGCCTACCGTGCCCT